CTCTCTCTCTCTCTCTCTCTCTCTCTCTCTCTCTCTCTCTCTCGGGCAAATAGTCCCTTTCTTCTGTTTTTTCTTTACCTTTTCTTTTCCTTTCATCGAGTACTGGTGATTGAACCCAAGGCCTTATACATGCTAGATGAGCACTCTACCCTGAGCTACATCCCCACCCTTTTTTGTTTTATTTTGAGACAGGGTCTTCCTAAGTTGGCCAGACCAGCCTGGAACTTATGATTCTCCTCCCTCAAATTCCTGAGTAGCTAGAATTACAGGCTTTGACCACAGCACCTCACCCTATTTTTTTTTTTATAAGAATGGTTTGGAGCCAGGCATGTGGCTCATGTCTATAATCCCAGTAATTTCAGAGGCTGAGGTAGGAGGATTGAAAGGTCAAGGCCAGCTTCAGCAACTTAGTGAGACCCTGTCTCAAAATAAAAAATAAAAAGGTCTGGGGATGTAGTTTAGTGGGTTCCCCTGGGTCCAATTTCCAGTATCACACTCCCCACACACACACAAAAAAAGACTACTATGATGGGATATCACACCTATGATTATGTGGCAACAATTAAGTACTTTTCCAGGTGAAATTAATGTCCCTAATCAAATGGGAGACTATCCTGGAGGTGGCCTGACCTAACCAGGTGAGCTCCTTCAAAAAGGGTGAAGCAATCAGAGATGAAGAGGAGCAAAGATACTTTCTCTGTTCTCTGTTGCTAGCTTTATTTTTTGGCCTGGGTCTCACTGAATTGCCCAGGCTGGTGTCTATGAGAAACAGGTAGCTGGGATTATAGGCACACCCTACCACACCCAGCTTCTGTTGTTAGCTTTGATGAAATAAGCAGTCAAGAATTCCACAGCCACATAGAAATAAATAGCCAATAACCTGAGGGAAATTAGAAAGATATCTCACTGTTTTCAGTCTCGAGATGAGAATATAGGACTGAGAGTATAGCTCATTGGTAGTAGCATGCTTGCCTGGCATGCAAGAGGTCCTGGAATCAATCACTGGCACTAGAAAAATTTTAAAGAGATGGGACTGTACCCTGGCCACATGTGATTTTAGCATTATGACATCCCTGAGCAGAGAACTTGGCTAAACCATGGTTACACTTCTAGCCTACAGAAACTGCAAAGTTTACTTTTTTCCCTCCAGTACTAGGGATTGAATCCAAGGTCTCAAGTACACCAAGCAACTACTGTATCACACAGCCACATCTCCAGCCTAGTTGGTATTATTTTAAGCCATTAGTTTTGTGGCAACCATAGCTACTACAATCTGTAAATTGTTGCTTTTCTTTCCAGAGGAGTATTTCAATAAATGAAGGTAACATAGTTTTTCCTTTAGAATTTGGATTTTTTTCCACTTAAGGTGTTTTCAAATCAAGTTCCTATGAATAATCTTTTATATTTCTCTTGATGAACATGAATTTTGTCATATAGGCCATACATAAGTTCAAATTCAGTGGAAAGGGCTGGGATGCARCTCAGCAGCAAAATATTTGTCTCACATTCGCAAAGCCCTGGGTTCAATCCCCAGTTCCAAAAAAGACAAAAAAAAAAAAAAAAGAAAAAAAAAGAACCCCACCAAATTCAGTGGAAAATTCCAAATTCTTTTTTCAAAACATATTGCTTTAAAAAAAGAAAAACAAACAAACAACTCATAGCTGAACATAGTGGTGCATGGTGGTGCAGCTACTCCTGAGGCTGAGGCAGGAGGACCACAAGTTGTAGGACAGCCTAAGCAACTTAGTGAGACTCTGTCTCATTTGGGGATGCAGCTCAGTGGTAAAGCACTATTGGGTACAACTTCTAGTACCAAAAATAATAACAATAAGGACAACAAGAAGCTGTGGATGTAGCTCACTGGTAGAGTGCACAAGGACCTGGGTTCAATCCCCAGCCCCCACGATGCCCCTCCCCCTCCCCAAATTACAAGAACAGCAAGAAACAAAGAAAAATAATTTAGAGCCATCCTTCAGCTATCACAATAAATCCTAAGGTTTAAATGTCTGTATCTAAAAGTCAGTCCTGTTCATCTTGTGCCTTTCTCAGCTTCTGCTCCAGTGTGGCTGTGTCCTCAGCTCCGTGGGTTTAGTTGGCCCTGCTTCACGTGGGAAACATTGTGTGAGGCTAGGCGACAGGTAGGTGACAGGCACGCAGAAAGCTTTCGGGAGCTCCGGTGGGGAGCTCCGGTGGCGTGAGCTCCCGCCCTTAGGGCGGCCCTTTCCATCCCGCCGTCCGCACCGCAGGGCGCCGGGCCTCGACYCTCCTCCAACACCGCCCCCACCCGTAGCCCAGCGGAGGACTGGTTCGAAGTTTGACCGTGTCCTCGGGACCCGTTTCTGTCTAGCCCTAACGCAGAATAGGCCTCAGGGCCATGATGGGGATGGGGGGAAATAGGATTTCTCCGCCGGCACGCATCCAGAACGGAGGAAGCCCCSGGCCCCGCCGAGGACTGGGCGGAAGTGACGTCGTAAGACATGCCCCTCTCTTCCGCCGGCGGCGGCGCTTGTCAAAGACCTGCTTAGCCTGGTGGTGGTCRGTCCGCGCTTTCTTTGAGACGCTCGCGTGCAGCCGAGGGTCCGGGTGTGGGAATGAGGCGACACTGACAGGTCTGACCCCGGCTCCGAGGAGCCTCGGTGGAAAGGCCTTGCCCGCTCCTCTTCTGTCCGCCGGGGCGGCGAGTCCGGCCACTGGTCCCCGGGAGGAGCGGGTTGGAAAGTGTCGTTATACTGCGTCGTCGGAGTGACCGCATTCACCCAGCTCCCCTCTTCAAAAGGCTCCAGGGAACCTTTCTCACTTATTTTCCAGAAGGAATTTTTTTTTTCCTGTCGAATCATAGATTCTGGCCCCGCGTCCTCCGTCCTCAAGGACCTAGCGATCCCACACGTTCTGGTGAGCCCTGGGTGAAAGGCGGTCAGAAGGGGGGGGGGCCTTCCTTTTCTTATGCAARCAAATATTTCACCTGAGAACTTGACTTTGTCTTTGCGAGCCTGTGTTCATTTTTGCCACATGATGTTAAGGTGGGAAGATACAGATACTGTCTTAGGCGCGTTTCCCGGGGTGATTACCGCAAGCGGTTGTAGACCGCGGGTCTTTCTACTAAAGGATACCAGCCGCTCTCTTTATCTGAGGTTTTGGGTCTGTACATCCCTACAGAGCTTCAAAACCAGGACCTACAAGGAGAAAGGATGGAGATTTTATTACGCTGCACCCCCACCCCCCACCCCTGTTTTTTCTTTTGTGTGCTTGAGATGGAACCCAGGCCCTTGTGAATGCTAGGCAAGAGCTTTACCGATAGGTTTAATCTCCAACCCACAACTAATCGAATTGACCTTTAACAGGGTAAATTCTTAAACATACTCATAATTTAAACACCTAGAATTGGTAAGAGGGGAGAGTATGTTGAGAAGGATTGATATTTACATTGAGAACAAGACAAGAGTAGGATTTGATGGTTAGATCATTGAGGTAGAGTAAGAAGATTTTAGGAGATGGTAACTTCATGAACAAAATCCCAGAGCAATTGAGAGCCTAGAGCAGTTCCTGAACTGAGGAAAGGGAATTGGCTAAAGCTGCACAGAGAGGGAGAGTGCTGGAAGAAGACTGGAGTGAGATAGGACCAGAAAAATGACTGGGTTATATTGTGAGGCTGTGGGGCCTTATGAAATGGTTTAAGCAGGGAAGTGATTTGAATATATATCTGACTATAATGGAATTCAAGGACTTCCTAGTTTGAGAATGGAGTTCAGGAAATGAAAGAGTGAAGGTAGAGTCAAGATAGCAGCTTACGATGCATAAGTTTTAAATATGATTGTAGTAACATACTTWGATGATTGTTACAGAACAGAAAATAATAAAATAATTTGCAAAGTTGTTTTATTTTGTTTTTTTATTTGAGATGGGTTCTTAGCATAGGCTGGGCTAAAGTGATATTTCTGCCTCAGTCTCCCAAGTAGCTACAGGTGTGTACCACTGCAACTGACTTTTTTCTTTTGTACTGAGGATTGAACCCATTGCTTTAACATTGAACCACATCCCAGCCCTTTTTATTTTTTTATTTAGAGACAGAGTTTCACTAAATTGCTTAGGACCTCACTAAGTTGMTAAGGCTTACCTCAAACTTGCCATCCTCCTGCCTCCACCTTCCAAGTCGCTGTGATACAGCCAAGCACCACCACACCCAGCCTATTTGCAAGTTTTAAATAAGGTGAAATTGCCAGACTCTTTTTATCCTTTCAACTCTTCATGCACTCTTCATGTATAGTGTGTGGATGATTGATCAAGGGAAAATGAAAAAGTTMATCCAGCTCTTGGAAAATTGCAAACTGAAGGAGGACACAAGCATTTAACCAAGGAAATAAATATTTTGGAAGTAAAGCACAATATTATTTTGTTGTTTATTTGTATGGGAGTTGGTGAAAGTAAGGAGAGTGCTAGGCAAACAGAACTAAACAAYTATACACATTGTAGAATTAGTCATGCTGAAAAGGAATGGAATATCAGGTAACAGAAGCCTATTATAAATTAGCTGTTGAGATTTCTAGGGTGAAAGGAATACATCAAGTATTACTGGCAGTTTTCACACTAGTGCTCTTTTTTTGGGGAAAAAAAAGCTAGAGGAGGAGTCTGATCTCCAATTCATAACTGACAGAAAAAAATTAATACTGTATGTTGAAATGCAACATATAATAGGAGAAATTATGAATGTTGGGTTTTTGTTTTGACTTTTTTGTTTTTGTTTTAAGAACTGAGAGTTAGGGCTGGGGATGTGGCTTAAGCAGTAGCGTGCTCGCCTGGCATGCGTGCGGCCCGGGTTCGATCCTCAGCACCACATACCAACAAAGATGTTGTGTCCACCAAGAACTAAAAAATAAATATTAAAAATACTCTCTCTCTCTCTCTCTCTCTCTCTCTCTCTCTCTCTCTCTCTCTCTCTCTCTCTCCTCTCTCCTCTCTCACTCTCTCTTTGAAAAAAAAAAAAAAAAAAGAACTGAGAGTTAAATCCAAGGGCACTCCACCACTGAGCTACATCCTCAGCCCTTTATTGTTTTTTATTTTGAGACAGGGTGTCACTAAATTTCCTGGTCTCAAACTTGCCATCTTCCTGCCTCGGCCTTCCAAGACTCTGGAATTACAGGCATGTGCCACCATGTCCAGCCAAATTGGAGAAGCCACGGCTTGAGCAATGGTGCATGCCTGAAATACCAGCAACATATGGAAGGCTAATGTAGGGGAATCACAAGTTTGAGGCCACCCTGGGGAATTTAGTGAGACCCTGTCTCAAAATAAAAAATTAAAAAAAAATTGACATATAGCTCAGTGGTACAGCACCCCTGGATTCATTTTTACCTTAGTACTGCAATAAAAATAAAAACTCCATTTTAACCTGGGTTTTTTCCCTCCAGTGCTAGAGTGGCCCTGAGTTCAATCCCCAGTACTCCCCCCMAAAAAAATTCCAGTTCAGCAAATGGACCTCTAAATAGGTTTCTATGTTGCTCCATGRTTTTACCTGTCTTTATACATTTTCCATCTTTCCTCCATCCTATATGGGCTGGAGGACAGATCAAGTGTATATACTTTCCTGGGAACTGTTAACTGTGAATTTTCCCATGGGCCAGGTAGCTGCCCTTTTAATTATGGGACCTATTGGAGTCTAAGCTATCTAAAATCCAATAATCCAGCCAGGCATGGTGGTGCATGCCTATAATCCCAGCAGCTGAAGTAGGAGGATCGAGAGTTCAAATCAAGCCTTAGCAATTTAGTGAGGCCCCTAAGCAACTGAACAATTCCCTGTATCTAAATAAAATATAAAAAAATGGCTGGGGAATGTGGCTTACACACACTGAACAATTCATACACACACTGAACAATTCCCTGTATCTAAATAAAATATAAAAAAATGGCTGGGGAATGTGGCTTACACACACTGAACAATTCATACACACACTGAACAATTCCCTGTATCTAAATAAAATATAAAAAAATGGCTGGGGAATGTGGCTTACACACACTGAACAATTCATACACACACTGAACAATTCCCTGTATCTAAATAAAATATAAAAAAATGGCTGGGGAATGTGGCTTAGTAGTTAGCACCCTGGGTTCAATCCCTAGTGTCAAAAATAAAATAAAATCCAAAATTCCTGTCAGGTACAGCTGTACACTGTTCTGTTGTTTGTTGGTCTTATTATATTTGTGTAAGTACTTTTATTGATATAGAGGCTCATACACACACCACATAAACCACACTTCTCCCAAACATGATAAAAATTGATACCCACATCAGTCTATGTGGGTATAAACAGGGAAAGAACACTACATTCTGATATCCCAAACAACATCAGCCTGGCCCAGAATTTCACTGTTGGTGACATATCACTTTAGAGGAAATCACTCCATTTGCTAATATCTTGCCATTGAAGATGATTTCATCCCTGTAACAGGTTTTCCTTTAATTCAGTAGAACTTTCACCTTGGGGTTGCTCATGGGCAGTTTCACCAAAGGTACAAATTGGACATGGGACATTTCTGCTATTTATTTATTTTAGATACTGGGAATTGAAGTACCAGGGGTACTTTAGCATTAAGCTTCACCCACAGTCCTTTCTTAAAATCTTGAGACAGAATCTTGCAAAGTTACCTGGACTGACAATCCTCCTGTCTCCTAAATTGCTGGGATTACAGGCACACACAACTGTGTTGACTCTTCCTTTCATTTAGATTCTCTTATGTTGTTCCTGAGCTTGCTGGTTGGTCCATCATCCTAGTAAACTCTTTGYTCTCTGTCAAAATGCACTACACTCCATGCCTATAGGGAAATCTGCTTTTAGGGTTTGAATTTGGAATGTCCCCTAAAACCTCATGTGTTGAAGGTAACGCAGTATTATTCAGAGATAAGGCTTTTAGAAAATGATTGGATCATGAAGGCACAAGCCCCCTCAGTGGATTAATTCATTTGATAGATTAATAATTTGAAAGGATAACTGGGTGATAACTGTCATCAGGTGGAGCATGGTTGAATTAAGTAAGTCCTGAAGGGTGTGCCCTTAGGGACTGTATCTAGTTCTTGGTGTCTCTCTCTCAGAATAACTTTAAAATATGATTATGGTAACATAGACTTTGATCAGTGTTGTGATCAAAGTGATTTTGATCAAAATTATTTCATTCATTTTCCTAGATTAAAAACTTTTTTTTGAGAGAGAGAAAATTTTTTAATATTTATTTTTCAGTTTTTGGTGGACGCAACATCTTTATTTTATTTTATGTGGTGCTGAGGATCGAACCCAGTGTCCCACACATGCCAGGCAAGCGCGTTACCACTTGAGCCACATCCCCAGCCCGATTAAAAACTTTTAAAATTAAAAACTTTATTAAATTGTATTCAGAGTGAGGAGTGAGGATTCCCATGATGTCCATACACAAGTCATGGGAAGTCCTAATTAATCCTTTCCCTTTCCTCCACTATCTTGTCTCATTTTTCTAAGTGGGCTTCTAGGCAAAAGCCATACAACTCCAGGTTTCTAGGAACTGGAAGTACCCAGGCCCTCATTGTGGTCTTGGAACTCAGGCCTGAAGCTCTTCCTTTCCTCTGCTATGATGTGTTGGAGTGGCATCTTTCTGTCCTGGAGTCACATTCTGCTGTTGGGACTCTCAAACCCAGATCCTGGATGAACTGGATAGTTTCCAAATAGCATCTGTCAATCCCCCCATCCTTGCTGCGCCTAGTTCAAGGTCAGAGAGGTAGGATGTCCTATTGTTGCAAAATCTTCATGTTCAGGCTTCCTGAGTGACCTGAAAGATACTATCATATCCATTGCCCTTTCTTCCAGTCTCTGAATCTCACTGTTAACATCTGAGCAAGGCCCTAGGGGGTAGATTTGCTGAATGGCCCATGGGCTGTCTGCTCTGTTTCCCTCTCCCCACTCAGCTTCTTTGCATGTCCTATGGATTTCTTCAGGGTTCCCCTTGGAACCTCAGCCTATCCTCTGAGGAACCCACTGTTGCCAAGCCAGAATTCTAAGAGGAAACGTCTTCTACCATCCCTAAGACTTGCCCAGAGGATGTTTGTTGCCAGGGAAGATGTTATAGGTTGCTCTTTTCCCTCAAGCTCACAGACAAGGTGGGTGTTCATCTGCAGAGGAGGAGAGAGAKGATCTCAAGAGCTACTCTTGAGATCCTGGCCAGCTCCCTGCTTTAGCTAGAGAAACGATCCTGCATTCTCAAGGCTCTGGTTTAGAGCCGAGGAATGTAACCACATATGATATAGGTAGAACACAGGCTCTCTGGATGCTTGTTTAATAAGGGAGGGGTWTCGAGTTTGAGAAGTGGCATCAGACAGTGAAGAAACAAGAAGTTGTCCTTCTCATGAGGTACATTAAATGGTTGGCTCACTTTTTTGTGAGGGGAGGTAAAGCCAGTACTGGTGATTATACCTGGGGCACTTAACCAGTGAGCAACATCCCCAGCCATTTATTAAATATTTTTTATGGGGCTGGGGATGTGGCTCAGGCGGTAGCGCTCGCCTGGCATGCGTGCGGCCCGGGTTCGATCCTCAGCACCACGTACAAACAAAGATGTTGTGTCCGCCGAGAACTAAAAAAAATAAATAAATATTAAAATTCTCTCTMTCTCTCTCTCTTTCTCTCATCTCTCTCTCTTAAAAAAATATTTTTTATTTTGAGACAAGGTCTCAATTTCATAGGGCCTCACTAAGTTTCCGAGGCTGGCCTTGGACTTGAAATCCTCCTGCTTCCTCCTTCTGTGTCACTGGGATTACAGGCATACGCCATCATTCCTAGCAATCTACTTTCATTTTAATAGTATATACAGAAGATCAGAATCTGGCTCCCCAATTACTGGTTTAGGCATCTTGAACAAACCACTTGAAACCTGCACTCAGTTTTCTTCACAGCWATATGATGAAGCTGGCAACCCTGTGATGAAGAAAGGGTAGCAAAAATCAGGGGAGATGGCCTTTCCTATGCCTCTGCCCTTGGTAAGATGTAAAGAAGTATTAGCTGGAAGGGGAGATAGTTTCTGGATACTGGGAACCCACAGGTCCTCTTTTTCCAGCAAGAGAGACTAAGTATCCCAAGTTTGCACATCAGTCTCTGTTCACAGTGACATCTGGGCTGATGAATAAGGCCTTCTTGATAGGGTTCCTTCCTAGTCTTCTTCCCTCCCCCATCTTCGGGTTTTCACTTTAGGGGAAAAGAAATTTTACAGGTCCCAGGATAATTCTGAATGTGAATGAGGGCTCTGGGCTATTGATTCCTAAGAAAGGATATTTCTGCTGGGAGAAACCTTCCTCAGTGCATAGCCATTTAAGAATGCTGACAAATTTGTGTTCACCAAACCTTCTGCAGGCTGCAATAGAGGCACCTAGGCCAGCCCATTCAAGAGTTTTGACCAACTTAACATTGCTAGAACCTAGTCACTTCTTCATCTTTTAATTTACTGTAGGATATGGCATGTTTAATGAATTCTTGAGTATTTGATCAAAGCATAGTGAAACAAAATTCATCCTAAAGCTATTCTTAGGGAACTTGTAACCTAGTGAAGTAGATTGTCATCTAACTACACAAATAAATGTATAAGTCCAAATTGATTGAATGTTCTGAAAGTGAAGTAGAGGTCAGTGTGATTTTTCTCTCTCTTTACAAGGCAATAGGAAAAGGTAAGAACAGAGAGGGATTTTTAAGCAGAGACTGAAAAACAAAAAGGTAACATTGAAAGGGAGGGGGAGTACAAGGAGGGAAAAGTGTCTTGTGAGTTGACTGAGTTCATTTCTTTCTTTTTTTTTTTCTTTTCTTTCTTTCTTATACTGGGGATTGAACTCGGGGGGATACTTAACCACTGAGTCAYATCCCCAGCCCTTTTATGTGTTTTATTTAGAGACAGGGTCTCACTGAGTTGCTTAGACCCTCACTAAGTTGCTGAGTCTGGCTTTGAATTCATGATGCTCCTCCCTCAGCCTTCTTCAAGGGTTTCTCCCTTCAAGACTTCTTTTCTATTGCTGGGTTAAAAAAAAAAAAAACTAAAGAAAAGATCTATTCTTTAATGTTACTGACAGGAAAAATAAGTGATATTTATTCCAATGCCATAAATCAAGGGAAAATAGAAGAAAACATGAAAGTGTTGGAAATTTGTGAAATGAAATTCAAGGAGTTCATCAGAATCAGGCTGAACACTGGTAAGTTCTCCATAAAAAGCCTCTTATGTTAATTATCAATCTCAGTAAATATTTGTATTCACAAACACAGTGTCAAATACTGTTTGAGTGGATAGCTGAAATTCAACCTTCTACCCAAACTCTACCTCTGATCTCCTGAAGGGATGTTCTGAGGTGGTGAGCGTAATAAGATGGCTGATTGTAGGAACATGCTCCCTTTGTTGCACTTCTTTATACTGAAACCTTTTCCTTGAGTAGACCCCATACTTATGAATGCTGCTGCCACTTATGAACTATTTGCAAGTGTGTAGATGGTGGTGCCAACAGAAGCATAACTAGCAGAAAGACAGTTGGTGTGACCTCATGTTTATAGATGGTTGTTAAGTGCCACATACTTGGTTTATACTGCTCTGGATTTTGGCCATTCCTGTTATAATCAAGGAACTCATCTCAGTGATGGCCTGGCACAGTATAACCACAGAGCTTTTCAGGGATGGAGGGTCTTCATTCACTAACCTATTTTTTTTACTACCTTCATGAAGAGAATGWCTTCTGGGCCCTTAACATCAATTGGTGAAGGGGAGCCATTTTCACATATAAATATAGTACAATCACATATAAATTCAGTACAATCTTCCTTTATCTCTAGGATTCCTTCTCTTTTATTATGCCAGGAAATCTCTTGCATTATCCGTCTCACTAACTTAAGATCACCATTGAGTGCAGGTTTATCATCTAATTAAACTATTATTTAACTATTAGCTAACATGTGGGATCCAGATGTCTATTAAGTGGCCCCACATCAATGAATATGGCCCTATTTAGTTTTACCTTCCACTTATACTTGTTTTGTGATTTTCCTCTGATATTATTTCCAGATTGGGATTATTTTGTTGCGTGAGCTTTTCTTCTTACATTATATTATATATCTATATCCCTGGATTGTTACTGGTTTTTACTCTAGTGACAACAGCAGATCATGGTTTATCTTGAAAATGTACATTTCTTTCCAAGATCTCAGGCCCAGTTGAGATTATCACAGGGTTTTCATTGAGAGTAGGTTGCCTCTTTAGATACCAAGGACAACCTACCTGCCTGGTTAGTGGGTCTCAGACTGTCTTGGGGGTTTAAGATTGACTTTTCTCAAGGTCCAACAACATGTCTCCATTCCAAGTTTCAGATTCTGTTTTTTTTTAAAGAGAGTGAGAGAGGAGAGAGAGAGAGAGAATTTTTAATATTTATTTTTTAGTTCTCGGCGGACACAACATCTTCGTTGGTATGTGGTGCTGAGGATCGAACCCAGGCCGCACGCATGCTAGGCGAGCKCGCTACTGGTTGAGCMACATCCCCAGCCCCCCAAGTTTCAGATTCTTATTCTACCTGATTGAATTGCAAATTTTTAAAATTTAGCAGTTTCTCCATGCCAAACATTCACACCAACAAGCCATATAATCTCCCTCATGACATTTATCACCATGGAGAAATAAAGTCACATCTTTCTGAAATTTCTCTACCTATAAAATGAGAGTTTTATAGTTTTCCTGGTGGGCAGCATGGCTCACCATCCTTTTTATGGCTCTAGGTGATTCAGGATACTCTAGCATTGTATGGTAGAAACATGTATGTGAATTTTACTGAATATGCAATTATATGGGAATTTCATTTTAAAATGGAGTAACTTCTAGTCATGCAAGTGTACAAATTATGGTCAGCTCTGGATTACCATGCTTTCTCTCTTTTCCAGGAGTTCTTTCTAGGGACTCACTCTGTCTTCATGAAGAAAAGATAGAGACATCAAGGATGTTGACTGACTACCTGACACACTATTATCAGGTATGCAGAAGCAGTGTTCCCCATAATGACATACCTGCTCCAACATGTAGACACATTTCCTTTTAGGCAGATTTGTCTCCACACCTTCTTCAGTGAGGTCAACAGAGCCTCACTGAAGAGCTGAGTCCCCAGTTAGTTTTCTCCAGGAAATGGARCTTCTCATATTAGCAAGGTGTTACCTTGAAAATCTCCCTCATTGTTCAGTGATTAGAAACTGATCAASACACTCCAAGTTCTGAGTGCATGTTTGTTTGCTCTGACAGATGATAGGAAGAAGAAAATGTGTTCTTCTTCTAAAGACTTATTCATTCACACTGATTATGAAGCATATACAGTGCCCTCAGGTACTTCAGAAGAAAAAAGTAAGATGAGAACAGCTTCCAGGCAGGTTGTAGTGAGATCAATTCATGTGTCAGAAGGGCCATTAAAGCCACATGACCAGAGGTGATCAGCCTTAAAGTGAAGTGGATAGAGAGAAGAGTTCCCAGGACCACTGAACCCTTGGTAGACAATGGAAGCCCTCAGATCCCTGTGTAGGCACTGGTCTCACTTCCTCATTCTCTTGTGAACATCAGTGGAGATGTTTCTATTGTACTTGTTACTCAGGTTGGCATGTGTGTAATGACATTGTGTATACAAAGTGCTAAAAGGTTCAATCATTTAGGAAGTAAAATGAAATGAAGAAGTATCCTTATTGGTAAAAAAAAAAAATCCCAATGATTCATCAGATTCATCTGGAGGGCTTATTGAAAGATGCACAAGAGCCAGGTGCAGTAGCTCACACCTGTCATTTTAGCACCTCAGAAGGCTGAGGCTGGAGGATCATGAGTTCAAAGCCGTATTATTGTATATATAATTTATGACTTAATGACTGTTTTTTTTTTCAAGAACTTGGTGACCTTTGAGGATGTGGCTGTGAATTTCACCCAAGAGGAGTGGATTCTATTGGATCAAACGCACAGAGACCTATACAGAGATGTGATGTTGGAGAACTACCAGAACCTGGCCTCAGTAGGTAAGACTGCCATCATTCCTTGTAGCTTAGGGAAGATGGGTGTTCTGTACTTGTACACTGATGCTGCAGCACAGTGATGTCAACTCTGACTATGTTGGAAAATAACAGGGGCATAGACTCTGCTTAATACATTTTAATATAATGTTATGGTTCTCAAAATGTGAGCCAAGATGAACATATCACCATGACGTTTTTAGAAATATGTTAGTAGTCTCCTTTGACATACAATTATGTCATTGGGTAGATCCTTGTTGTGCTTTTTTTTTTTTTTTTTTTAAACCAAGGATTGAACACAGGGGCTCTTAACCATTGAGCCACATCCTCAGCCATTTTATTTTTTATTTTGAGACAGGAACTCACTAAGTTGCTTATGGCCTCACTAAGTTGATGAGGATGGCTTTTACTCACAATCCTCCAGCCTCAGCCTTTTGAGGGGCTGGAATAACAGGCTCAGTGAGCTACTGTGCCTGATTCTCATGCATCTTCTTTTTTTTTTTTTTTTTTTTTTTTTTTTTTTTTTTTTTTTTTTTTTAGTTGTAGATGTACACAATACCCTTATCTATCTATTTATTTATTTTTATGTGGTGCTGAGGATTGAACCCAGTGCCTCACACATGCTAGTAGCTCAGTATGTATGAGACCCTGGGTTCAGTCCTACCACTGAGCCATAACCCCAGTCCTTGTGCATCTTTTTTTTTTTGGTGCTGGGGATTGAACCCAGGGCCTTGTGCATGCAAGGGCAGTCTACCAACTGAGCCATACCCCAGCCCTCGTATTTTTTATAAACTTTTTAATAAACCCTCTGGATGAATCTGATGTATCATTGTTTCAGAATCATTGGGATAGTTTTTTACCAATAAGAATAAAGCTCTCTTCATTTCACTTCCTAAATAATTGAAACTTTTAGCCCTTTGTATACATAATCATTAATTTGAGTTTCAGGGGTCAGGTATAACCAGTGTTTTGGGAGCACAAAGGTACTACTTGCATTTTTAACCCCTCTGAAATAATTTAACTGTTTTAACTAGAAGCAACATTCCTGAATAATGTGAAGATTTATGATCTCTTGCATCAGTTTCTTCTATTAGTGCATTTTTCCCCATGTACAGGTTGTCAGCTCATAAAACCTAGTCTGATCTCTTGGTTGGAGAAAGAAACAGATTTGTGGGCAGTGCAGAGAGGAGATCTCCAAGGTGAGTGTGAAGGAAACTGTTTAAGATGCACTTGATTTCAGAATGTTGAGGTCATATATCTGAGAATATCTTCAGCTTCCCATCTTCATCTACTTTTTGTCTACTCAGATTTTCTTATAATTTCACAAAAAAACCTACTCTATTTCTTCTTGAAGTATATAATTTTGATGTATGCTGTGTGTCTAGATCTTGATAGTTTTTTTTTAAAGAGAGAGAGAGAATTTTAATATTTATTTTTTTAGTTTTCGGCAGACACAACATCTTTGTTTGTATGTGGTGTGAGGATCGAACCCAGGCCACACGCATGCCAGGCGAGTGCGCTACCGCTTGAGCCACATCCCCAGCCCTAGATCTTGGATATTTTCTATACCTGATAATATTCATCTTGGGACTGGGAGAATAGTTCAGTATATATGAGACCCTGGGTTCAGTCCCTAGCACCACCAAACACACACACACACACACACACACACACACACACATTCATTCATTCTGTTTACCATTTGCTTTAATTTTCAAGGAATCAATTTGTAATAAACTATTTAAAATTATTTGCATCCATAGCTTTGAAAAATTTTTAATCAAGTTAAAATTCCCAACTTTTCTTTTTTTAAATTTTWAAATTTTTGTTTTGTTTTTTGTGCTACTGGGGTGGTACATACCCAGGACCTTGCACATGTGAGGCAACACTCTACCACTAAGCTATATCCCCAGCCCTTTTTATTTGATTTGAGATATGGTCTCACTTAGTTGCCCAGGATGGACTTGATCCTCCTGCCTTAGCTTCCTGAGTAACTAGAATTACAAGTATGAGCTATTGGGCCTTACTTAAGTTTTCAAATTTTTAAGCTAGTTTAATTTAAAAATAAATAAAAATCATTTCTATCTTTCTGGGGATGTAGTTCAATGATAAAGTGCTTGCCTGGCCTGGATTCAATGCCTCATACTGAAAGGAAAACACACACAAATAAAAGGAAGAAAAGAAAGAAAAAAAAAGAGTCAGTTTTAATGTTGTGTATGTGTGTGTGTTTTGCTGGGGATGGAACCCAGGGCTTCATGCATTCTAACTAAGCACTTTACCATTGAGCTATATACCCAGTTGTATTATTTGTAACTCCTTCAGTATGCCATTTCTTTCTCCAATTGTTAATTTTGTTTTTCTGTCTATTTTCAGAATGTGAAATGAGACTTAGTACCAGTGAGTCCATGCTTAAGCAGGAGTTTTTGAGGGGACAAACCTRCATTGGGATACAAATAGTAAGTTTAACAGGGGATGTCTCTTATTTTCTGTATTCATAGAAGATTACAAATTCCATTTTAGAAAATCAGTCCAAATGAGAGAGGCATGAGAAAAATAGCATTCACCYAAGAGAGAGAAATGTCTGGAGAGAGATTCTGAATATAATGAATTTAAGAGTGCCCTAAATGTCTCATGAAACTGTTGATTTAGAGTTTACAGTATACATCCTTCTTAACAGTCTAAGATTAGAGAATGGCACAGGATTCTGGCAATATTTTACTACTGCTCAATTAGAAAGAAAACATGATAAACTGAGTATGGTAGTGCACACCTGTATTTCCAATACTTAAATGATTAAAGCAGGAAGATTTCAAGTTCCAGGCCAGCCTGGTCAACTTAGCAAGACTCTTTCAAAATAAAATTAAAGGATTTGGGTTGAGGATGTAGTTCAATTTTGGAGTGCTTACCAACTATATGCAAAACCCTGGGTTCCGTCCCCCACTCCCCCCAGCCAAAAAAAGACAGGAACTATATAAATGTAACACAATGGGGGAGAATCATTATCATCCTCAAAATGATATACTTTAATCAGTATTTGTCCACATATCAACAGGGAAGAAGCAATAGTGTTGGTGAACTCTATGACTATAACCAACCTGAAGAAGTCTGTCATGAACATTCATTTTTCAAGACACACATGAGAGTTCAAAATGTAGGGAGAAGTTATGATTGTGATCAGTATGGAAAAGATTTCCTTACTCTGCACATGAAAACTTCTATTGGAGATAAACTTACTGAGTTTAATGAACGTGGAAAAACCCTCAGCCCAACTCCAAATGTTGCGTATAAGAGAACATGCACACAAGAGAAACCCTTTGATTGTAGTGACTATGGGAAGGCCTTCATGAATCAGTCATACCTTCAGGCCCTTATGGGAACTCACAGTGAAGAAAAACTCTGTGAATGGAATGAATATGGGAGCAGTTTTATTATATCCACAAACCTTGCTATGCATATAGAAAGTCTCAATGTAAAAAATCCCTATAGATGTAAGGAATGTGGAAAAAGTTTTAGATATCCTGCTTACCTTAATAAGCACATGCGAACCCACACTGGAGAAAAACCCTATAAATGTTCAGAATGTGGGAAAGCTTTCGCTCAGTATTGGGGCCTTTCTCAACATGTACGAATTCACAGTGAAGAAAAGCCCTATGAATGTAAGGAATGTGGGAAGTCTTTCACTGTTTCTTCATACCTAACTAAACATGTAAGAATTCATAATGAAGAAAAACCCTATGAATGTAAGGAATGTAGAAAATCCTTTGGAAATCCTTCATACCTTAAAAAACACATTCAAATTCACACAGGACTAAAACCGTATAAATGTAATGAATGTGGAAAAGCCTTCACTCAATCCTCAGGCCTTACTAAACATGTACGATCTCACAGTGGAGAGAAGCCCTATGAATGTAAGGAATGTGGGAAAGCCTTCACCACATCCACTTGCCTCATTGCACATATAAGAACTCACACTGGAGAGAAGCCCTTTGTTTGTAAAGAATGTGGGAAAGCCTTTGCTAGATCTTTTTGCCTTATTGAACATATAAGAACTCATGCTGGAGAGAAACCCTATAAATGTGAAGAATGTGGGAAAGCCTATACTGCTTCTTCAGACCTAAACAGACATGTAAGAATTCATACTGGAGAACATCCCTATAAATGTAAGGAATGTGGGAAAGCCTTTGCTTATTACTCAAATCTTTCTGTACATCAAAGGACTCACACAGGAGAGAAACCTTATGAATGTAAGATATGTGGGAAAGTCTTTACATATTCCTCAAGTCGCAATAATCACATACAAACTCACAAAGCCCAATAACTATAGATATATAAGGAAGGTGGGAATGTTTGTTTTCTACATACCTTAATAGTCATATGTTATTCCACAGTGGTGGAAAACTATGAATGTAAACAATGCGACAAAGCCTTCAGTTACTCTGATTTTTTTTTTAGTACAGGAACAATGTCACACTGGAGAGAAACCCAATGAATGTAAGGAGTAAGCCAACTCCTGATTTTGAGAATTCAGAAGTTCATTTGCAAAATATTTTGTACTTGCAATTACATATCATCAGTAAGATGTACATTTTATTGTCCTTGGTTAGTGATACTATGTTTGATACTTGCTTAAAATATTAACCATCAGAGAACTCTATTTTAAATATAGACTTTTCCTTGTGAATAAGAAAGTGATTTGTAGGTTGCTATTTTGATATTCAGAGCATATTATCCCCCAATAAGCATATTATCCCCCAATAACCTTGTTTATTTTTTGAGCAGCCAAGAGTCGCCTGCAGTGAATAAAATTCTCAATTTTTTTTAAACATGTGTGGTGGTTTATTTTCAAGGCAAGTTTTTAAGATGGGATATCTAGGTAAAAGTATATATTTTTAATTTCATCATACATGAATGTTTTTCTTTCCACATATGTTGTGCCATAGGCAATTTCTGAATCAACTTTTATTTAATTTTTAATATTTATTTTTTAGTTATAGGTGGACACAATATCTTTATTTTATATTTATGTGGTGCTGAGGATTGGACATACTGCCTCACACATGCCAGGCCAGCACTCTACCTCTGAGCTACAACCCCAGCCCCCTGAATCAAATTTTTAAAAATTTGTTTAAAGACTATTCTTTAATAAGGAACAGATTTTAGTTTAATTGCTAGGCATTCATTTACAAAAGGAAAATCAATGTCCTCTTCACTTTTGTTTTTCAATGCTGGGGATCAAACCCAAGGCCTCATACAGGCCAGGCAAGTGCTCTGCTCTACCACCACACCATCCACAGCCCTTCTCTTCACTTTTATCCTAAGGAAGAGTACTCAACTGACTTTAGCCCTAATTTTACATGTGACCCTAAACCTGTGTTTACTATTTCTCTAAATATTGTCAATGTGTCCTCTTATTGATGATAATCCTTGGGACACTGATAATCTTGCCACCACCATTAAGCTCTGTAGGCCAAAGTATTTTTATTACTAGTATGTTCCACCTGCCCAAGACATCTGATGTGGCCTTATGGTCTTTGATGGTTAAGGGCTATTCACTTGATTTCTGCTAATATGGGTTCTCAGCAGCACTGAAATTGGGGAAAATATCTCAGTCATACCTGGTATATAAAGGAGTGTAAACACAGAGCTTTTCAAGGATAGAATTTCTCCCATCACTGATCTGTTTCTGAATACCTTTATGAAGACAGTGCCTTCTGAGTTCTCCATATAGGCTAATTAAGGAGGGCAGCACTGTTCACATAATAAATTTAGGAGCTGGACATGTCTGTAATCCCAGTAACTTGGGAAACCTAGTTGCAGTGCATGACTATAATCCCAGTAACTAGGGAAACCAAGGCAGGAGAATCTCAAGTTCAAGACCAGCCTCAGCAATTTAACAAGACCCTGTCTCAAACTTTTWAAAAAAATTTAAATGGCTGGTGATGCAACTCAGTGAAAAAGCACACCTGAGTTCAATTCCCAGTACCACCAAAAAGAAAAAAATTCAGTACAACATTCCTATACCTCTAGGATACTTTCCTTCATATTATGCCAGGGAATCTCTTTGGCATATCACCCCCACTCACTGTAGGTCACCACTGAGTTTAAGTTCAAGTCATCCAAACAATTTAACTGTTAAAGGCAGCACCCAGGTCCATGAGCTTATATATGAAATCCTGTTGTCTTCCTATTTCAATAGTTGGCCCTGTCTAGTGTTATATTCCACAATTCTTGGTCTAATATCCTTAGAATCCCTTCTCATACATGTTTCTTGTTTTTCTTATGACATATATTACCACAATGGGAATTAATTTATTATGTGAGCTTTTTTCTTTTGCTTGATGTTATACATTTGTGCCTCTGGGTTTTGCACTGGTTATGACTAGTGGCAGCTGCAGGCAGTTGTGGTGCATCTTGAGGGAAATGTTATTTCCTTCTGTTAGTGCAAGAGRACTGGGCTAGATGCAAACTTTACAAACCAGCCCAGCACAGCTTTTATTCAGGAATGGAATGATGCCTCTGACTGACCCATTTTCCTGGTGGAAAATGAGCCATTGGCCAAAGCGGGGTGGGTGTTAGGCTTATATGGTTACACTGAGAGGTGAATCAATTAATGAGCGTGTCAGTTTGGGCTATCCTTACTAGGCCAGATGGAAGGTGTGGGGTTAGTGGATGTGGGGTYAGTGGTCAGAACCMGGGATTTATCTTTACTGGGCCAGATGGTGGGTGGGGGGTCAGTTTAGGGTGGGATCAATGCTTTGGCTTCTTCTCAGAAACTGTCATTTCAAACTGGATGGAAATTTCCTCCCCAGGGCCTGTCTTGTCACTGGGAAAGACAGTGACTCCTTCAYTCCTTCTCCCCAGGCCACATTATTCTGGGGTTTGTCTTTTTCAATACCTAACACCTTCCATGAGAATTTAACAGGGGTTTCAAGCAGAGGAATGCAGAAACAAAGGGATAAGTTTCCCACCTTCACCATTTGCTTTTCATTCACATTGTGATGGTATCTAGAGATGAGGGTCTTTGGGGGACATGATTAAGTCATAAGGGTTCCACCCCCACAGTGTTATTAATAAACTGTAAAAGAGACTACAGGGAGCCATCTGGACCTTCCATTTCCTCTGCCTTATGAGGACAAAACATTTGTCCTTCTCATCCCTTCCAACTTTTCTGCATTGTAAAGACACAATATTTGTTCTTTTTTGCCCATCTGCCATTTGAAGATATGGCAATAGGCACCATCTTGGAAGCAAAGGGCAGGTGTCACATTCCTGGCGACTTAAACACTCACACCTGCCACCCAGGGATGTGTTGCATGCAACTAAAACACTCAGGGGTCTCTCCAGGGGAACTGGGCTGCCTGAAATAACCACACAAGAGAGAGAAATACCTTTTTCTTTGGGGGTGCTGAGACAGCTCTTCTGACATTAAGGGTCTGAAGAAAGAGAAAGAGTGAGTGCATCCTGATCCCTTTTATTGAGGAGAAGCCATTCAAATGAGGCAAGGGGTCAGGTTTCAGAGGATTGAGTCTAGCTTCATGATGCCTGCTGTTAGCAGGTTGCCTGACATCTAGGAAGGCCACACTCAAAGGCAAAGCAAGAGAAGGGGAAGCACAAATTTCCATGGAACATTCTATCCCAAACAGGGCAAGGGTTAATATCACAAAGGAACAGGCGAGGGTAGCTCAATCCCTGGGGATGTAGGAGGACGYGCCCATGCACAAAGACACATTTGCGTTTTCTCAACCCTAAAGATCGGGGCTACTATCTTTGGTTACTTAAGCAACCAGATCACAGGGTGACCTACAGTGCCACACTGATCAAAAGGGGAGGCAAACACTGGTCACATGCTATGTCTGCCTCCCACAGGCAGGCCCTCAATAGACACTGAATCTTTGGGTACCATCATCAGGAAGATTTCTTAGACCCTTAAAGTTAAAAGGAGAGGATAGGTTGGGGATGTAGTTAAGTAAAAGAGCACTTGCCTAGCAGGAGCTCGGCCCTGGGTTGCAAATAAAATAATTTAAAAATGTAAGAGGATATGTGGGGTGCTAATTATTCTGTAGTCCTGTAGACAGGGGCCATTTCAGGATGCAMTTGTCAAGAGACACCTGATCCCTGTCTCTCTCCTCTTTTACTCTTATCAGCTAGAGAAACTAAAGACCTAGGCTCTAGCCCTTGAAGACTACAACAAATAAAATAAAAGTAAGGGGTGGAAGGAAGACTGCCACTTWAAGTGGCCAGGAGCTCAGTGAAAACAAAAAAGGAATTTCAAACTTAGTTAGCTAATGCCAGGTAAAGCAAATATAATGGTATGATTACTTAGTGACTTTAAAACCCCTAGGTATAGGGAGCAAAGATGCAAGGTAATTAAATAGATTACATATACATATGGAAAATATTTTAGCACAAGAAAATATAGGAGCCAGGCATGGAGGTGCCCRCCTTTAATCCCGGAGGCCCTGGGGCCTAAGATAGGAGGATAGAGTTCAAAGCCAACCACAGTAAAAAGCAAGGTGATAAGCAACTCATTGAGACCCTGTCTCTAAATAAAATACAAAATAGGGATGGAGAGGGCTGGGGTTGTGGCTCAGTGATAGAGCACTCACCTAGCATGTGCRAGGCYCTGCGGGTTCAATCCTCAGCACCAAATAAAAATAAATAAATAAAATAAAAGTATTGTGTTCAACTACAACTAAAAAATAAATACTAAAAAAATAGGACTGGGGGTGTTGCTCAGTGGTCAAGTGTCCCTGAGTTCAATCCTCAGTGTCCCCCTCAAAAAAAGAAAATATATGAATAGCCATGTATATATTTTCCTCCCACTAAATTTAAACATTGTGCTTCATACAACCCAAAAGTATACCTAATAGACAACAGAGGAAAATGGTTATGTTTTACTTTATAGGCTTGTCTAATTTTATCAGTCATGAAACCCATTGGGCACAGAGGGTCAACTTCTCGCCTGTCAAAGCACTACCCAAATAAAGCTTGTGTACTACTGCCACCTCCTGGTTACATCTTTTTCCTTACTACTGCCACCTCCTGGTTACATTTTTTTCCCCTTAATAGCAAAAAAAAAAAAAAGAAAAAAAAATCACTGGAATACCCTACATATGTGTATGTTTTTATTTTATACATTTAGATTCTAGATTCATTTGGAGTTTATTGTTGTATATTGTAAAAGGAACAGGCTTAATTTCATCTTTTTCCAGATGGTTTACCAGTTGTTTTAGCACCTTTCATTCCAAAGTGCATTTCTGTTCCATTGATCTAGAATATACTTGAGGGCTGGGGATGTGGCTCAAGTGGTAGCACGCTTGCCTGGCATGCGTGGGGCCCAGGTTCGATCCTCAGCACCACATACAAACAAAGATGTTGTGCTGGCCAAAAAACTAAAAAATAAAATATTAAAAAAAAATTTCCATGTTATTGAATTTACTTGGAGACATTCTATTTATCGGCTTCCTGTTCATATGTAAGTACCATGCACTGTTAATTACAGAGGCTTTATAATATTTGGGGGGGGGGGTACCCGGGATTGAACTCAGGGTCACTGGACCCCTGAGCCACATCCCCACCCTATTTTTTATTTTATTTAGAGACAGGGTCTCACTGAGTTGCTTATCACCTCGCTTTTTAGTATTTTTTAAATATCTGTAGGTTATCATCCATTTTGTTTTTCAGTGTTTCATTGTTTATCATCAGATATTTGTTCTTTGATATTAACTTAAGTATCAATATGCCTAACTGCTTTTAAAAAATGTTGGCATTCTTGTTGGGGTTACGTCACACTTCTGAATAACTCTTGGAGAATACTCCGTAATATCAGTGGTTATTTTGAATTGTCGCCTGGGGGCGGGGGGAGGTCCCAGGCCCTCTGGCAAAATCCAAAAATAACAAGAAAAAAATAAGTTTGCAGAAAATATGATTACACTGAAAACACAAAGGAATAAACTATTAGAGTCTAGCATGGTATTCAGATAAGTTAATGAATTAAGGAACCATAAAGACCCACAAAGAGGGGCTGGGGATGTGGCTCAAGCGGTAGCGCGCTCGCCTGGCATGCGTGCGGCCCGGTTGGATCCTCCAGCACCACATACAAACAAAGATGTTGTGTCCGCCAATAACTAATAAATAAATAAATATTAAAAAAAAAAAAGACCCACAAAGAGAACGGAAAAGCCGTGCCACGCATCAACGTGAAGAACCAACGGGCTGGGCTGAGGATATGGCTCAGTGGTAGCGCGCTCGCCTGGCATGCGTGCGGCCCGGGTTCGATCCTCAGCACCACATACAAACAAAGATGTTGTGTTTTCTGAAAACTGAAAAATAAAATATTAAAATTCTCTCTCTCTCTCTCTCTCTCTTTAAAAAAAAAAAAGAATCAACGGGCTCTGCGGCTGTGGGCGGAGTCGGCACGGGCCTGGCCCCACCCCCAGGCCTGGCTCTCACTTCGCCCTCGGCCGCTGCGCCCGGTTCTGCCTCCTGCAACGAACCGACCAGTGTGTCAGCCTCATCCTCCCCGGAGAGGAAGTTAGAATGTCCGCGCCTGGCCGGGCCGACGTGGCTCGACGTGGCTGATGCCTGAGGAACCCCCTTGAGGGCCGAAGCCTGAGAGCGGAAGTGACGTCAGCGGGCGCCGGCTCCGCACTGTAGTGTCAAGTGCCTTCCTCATGGTGCACCTCTCCCCGCCTCGGGTGGATTCTGCGTGCGCGGTCTCCCAGTGGTGGCAGCTGGGTGGCAGCGGACCCCCGTAAAGGGACCAGACCGGCTTCGCTGGCGTGCCTAGGGCCGCGCATCCTTCCCGGCTCTCGGGTCCGAGAGGCGCCGGGCGGCGCTGGGTCAGGAAGTGTGGCCGGCGCGCGCCCTCCGGGTGCTTTCTTCCGCGGCGCTCCTCTTTTCCAAAGCCTGCAAAGCAGTCTTTCCGAAATYGTTTCCCAGAGGGAAGAGAATTTCCGCGATTTAGTAACGTTGGCTCCAGACTCAGTGCCCACTCTCCTGACGGATTGGCATTCTGGCGAGTTCAGGTCAGTACTGGGTACAAGTTGGTTCACAAGAGCCTCTACTTCTTTCTTAAAAGAATGTTTTATCTGAAAGTTTGGCCTTGTCTTTGACGGTATTTAGTTTATACRTGACATTCGGATAGAAAGATAATGTAGATTTTTAGGTGTCTAGGGTGTGACTCCTTCTATGTAGATACAGGTTTTCTTACTGGAAAAACCTGTATCTGCATAGATACAGGTTTCTCTTCCCAAGTTCCAAAGCTTGTACGTCCCCACAGAGCTTCAAAACGGGGGCCGCCAGGAAAAAGAGATGGCAGCTTTATCAGTGGTGCTAGAATAATTGAATTCATTACAGCATGTGTTGTTGTTCAGGTTATTCTGTGGTAGAAGGAATTGAACACCGGGCTTTGAAGGTAAGCCCTCCACCCCACCTCCTGTATGCATGCATGTTTTTTCCCTCACATTTTTCTTTCAAAAAATACGAATTAACATATGTAATAAATATAGTGGCAGATGTACCAATTTTTAGCATTGTGCGTGTTTGCCCACTTTTCAGGAAATTAAGAACATTTCTTGGTAAATTAGCATTTGAATATAAATTGAGAACATGAAACTTTTCCTTTAAATACTCGGGAATGCATCTTCTAAAGATAAGGGCATCRCCTAACTAAAACCACAATACTGTTTTACCTTAACAAAGTTAAAAATGATAATGTCATTTAGGCAGGCGCAGTGGCACACACCGGTAATCCCAGCGGCTCGGTTGGCGAAGGCAGGAGGATAGTGAGTCCAAAGCCAGCTCAGCAAAGGCGAGTCACTGAACAACTCAGTGAGACCCTGTCTCTAAATGAAATACAAAATAGGCTGGGCATGTGGCTCAGTGGTTGAATGCCCCTGAGTTCAATCCCCAGTACCAAAAAATAAAAATAATAATAATGTCATCTAAAGTTTGTTTTGTGTAACAACTGAAATTTTCCACACTATTCCAACATACACTGTTTAGAGTTGGGAGTTTTTGGATCTCAGATACATTGGAAGTTTATATGTTGCAATTATTCATGTTTTTTAGTGCCTTTTCATTTAGAGTGGTTTCTATTGTTTCTTCTTGGAACTGAGGATCTGGAGATCAAACCAAGAGCCTAATWCATGCTAAGCATGAGCTCTACTACTGAGCTAAACTCACAGCCCCTGTTATGTTGACTTTTGAAGAGTCATAGGTTATTTGAGGAAGTCACACATTTTGATGTTGATTGCATTCTCATGGAATGTTTAAATATACCTCCATTTCTTGCTATTTTCTATGAACTTGTTATTGGCTCCATAGAAGAGGTTTGGAAACTGATAGAGGTTGACAGTAAGTAATTTATGCTTTTTGGGCCATGTGCTCTTGAATTACTCARTTCTATTTTTTAAAATATTTTTAGTTGTAGATGGGACACAATACTTTTATTTATTGTTATGAGGATTGAACCCAGTGCCTCCTGTGCTGGGCAAGCGCTCTACCACTGAGCTACTACCCCAGCTCCCTCAGTTCTATTTTAATCACTTAATGTCCATGGTTATTCTTCTAGGTACTGACAACATGTCTCTTTTTTTTTTTTTTTTTTTTTTTTTTAAAGAGAGAGTGAGAGAGGAGAGAGAGAGAGAGAGAATTTTTAATATTTATTTTTTAGTTCTCGGCAGACACAACATCTTTGTTGGTATGTGGTGCTGAGGATCGAACCCGGGTCGCACGCATGCGAGACGAGCACGCTACCACTTGAGCCACATCCCCAGCCCAACATGTCTCTTAAAAACAGAATAGTTATCTTCAAAAAAGGGATAATTGTGAGGGCTGTAACTCTGGTAGAATGCTTGCCTAGCATTCTTTGGGCTTGTTATATCCTCGGCATTGGGAAAAAGAGAGAGCGCACACAGAGTTGCTTACAAGTACCAAAGGTCTGTTGTGTGATTCTCCTGTTGGTGCTTGCTAGAGGCTTCCAATAGTTCACACTGTTTACCCATGGACACTTTGAGGATTATTGGGTCTGCCTGATAATGTGGACCAGGTGCTTGAGAGGCTTGTACTGTACCTTTAACTTTCTCTTGTCTCTATTTGAAACTGAAAGCCTTAAGATATGTTAAAATTCATTCAAGTTTTGAAATGTTGCATCTAGAATTCAAAAGGTCTATAGAGTGTCACACCCCTTTATTTTGGCTGGTAGTCTGTATGAGGTGCAATCTTTTGGAGTGGAATCTTTGAGGGATGTCTTTACAAGATCCAGACCACTGAACACCTACAAAATTTCATTTGCAATGCCAAGTTCTCTGGGGACTATGTTATTAGAAAGAATGGGGATTTGATATAGCCTAGGGCTATCTCATTTAGGTCCCCCCCTRTATAATGTAGAGTCAATGCTGGAGCAGTCACTCTATCTTGTTTAGTTCATTTAGGGGGAACACTGGGGGCTAGAGAATGCGGTTATGAAGTCAGCTCCCTAGCATGTGTCTTTTGAAAAGAGGTGCTGCATAATCTCCCTCATGTCATTTATCACCATGGGGAAATAAAGTATCACATCTCCCCTGGCCTGAAATGTCTTCCTAGTAAAATGAGACTGTTGTCTTTTCCTGGTGGGCAGCATAGTTTATCATCCCTTCTATTGGCTCTAGGTAGAAAGGACTACTCTGACATTGTATGGCAATTGTGTGTCTGTATGTAGAGTGTGTTGGATTATATGGGGTTTCATGCTAGAGTGGACTAATTTACTGACATATGAGTAAGAATTGTGGTCAGCTCTGGGTTCTCATGCTCTCTCTCTCTCTCTTTTTTTTAGGCTTTCTTCTGTCTAGGGGCCCAGTCTGTCTTCTTCAAGAAAAGAGTAAGACAGAAAGCATGGTGGCAGACTGTCTGACAAATTGTTATCAGGTATGCAGACACCATGTCTCACAAAATGACCAGCTTGTCTTTACAGGTAGGCACATTTTTAGACAGCTATATCTTCAAAGTTTCTTAAATTAAGTAGAGACAAACTCAAGGACTCAGTCTCCAGCTGAATTTCTAGAGTGGAGCCTCTGGTATTGGTGAAGTGTTACCTAAAAATCATCCCATTATCTCAGTAATTATGAATTCATCTTCACACTTATGTTGCTGAGGCTGGCCTTGAAATTGCAATCCTCCTGCCTCAGCCTCCCAAGAAGCAGGGATTAAAGGCTCAAGTGTGGTACTGGTATGGACACCAAGGCCTCAAACATGCTAGTCAAGTGCTCTGCTGCTGAACTACATCCCCAGCCTTCAGGAATGTACTTTAATAGTACAAAATAAGAAAAGGACTTGTATTCTGGTTGTGGTGAGATCAGTTCAGGTGCCAGAAGAGCCATTAAAGCCACATGACTGAGGGAGATCAACCTTAAATTGAGTGTAGACAGAGAAAAAAGTTCCTAGGACCACGAAAGCCTTGGTAGACAATGGAAGCCTCAGATCYCTGTGTAGGCATTGGTCTCAATTCCCTTTCTCTAGTGAACATTGGTGGAAATGTTGCTATTTTACTTCTTACTCAGGTTTGCTTGCATGCATGTGTGTAATGTTTTAGGACTTGGTGACTTTTTTTTTTTTTAAGAACTTGGTGACCTTTGAGGATGTGGCTGTGGACTTCACCCAAGAGGAATGGATTCTATTGGATCAAATGCACAGAGACCTGTACAGAGATGTGATGCTAGAGAACTACCAGAACCTGGCCTCAGTAGGTAAGACTGCCATCATTCCTTGTAGCTTAGGGAAGATGGGTGTTCTTTACTTGCTGTGCTGCAGCATCAGTGATGTCAACTCTGACTATGTTGGGAAATAACAGGGGCATAGTCTCTTCCCTAGTACAGTGGTCCACCTTTATTCTAAGGTGTATATTCTAAGACACCCCCAATGGATGTCTGGAAATGTTCATAGAACTGAACAGTTTCAATCATGTTTTGAGGTGCAACAACAAAAGCAACATGAATTTCTTTTTTCTTCCTTATAGTTTCACAGATTGAAGATTTTTTTTCTTATTGTAGATATTAGCAGCCTAAGCATGTATATTTTTTCCTTTTTAAATCAAGAACTTTCAACTTTCACTKAAAGATAGCACTTTAAGTTTTCTCTTTGGCATTTTCAAATTGGCAGCATCACTACTGTTCTCTTTGGGTCTGTTGTTAAGTAAAATAAGGATTACTTGAACACAAGCAATGTTATACTGTGATAATCAACCATAAGTGAGACAGCTACTAAATGACTTAATGGGCAGGAAGCATATAGAGTGTGGATATGATGGATAAAGGGATGATTCATATCCCCTGTAGGACAGAGTAGGATAGCATGAGATTTTATCAAGCTACTCAAAATGGTATGCAATTTAAAACTAGTTAATATTTTTCTGGAAATTTATATTTAATATGTTTAGATAGGATGGATTGTAAGAAACCATGAAAGTAAAACTATAAGGGGGGACTACTGTACATTTTAATACATATTGGTGGTTATCAAAATGTGATTCCAAGAAGAATATTGTTGCCATCACCCCATGGGAAATAAAAATTATTTTTTATTTCCAGCTCAGTGGTAGAGCACTTGCCTAACATGCACAAGRTACTGAGATTCAATCACTAGGACTACCCCCACAAAAGTGAAATGTAAATTACCAGTTTCTTCTTTTGACCTATTGAATCAGAAACTCCAGGTAGATACCTGTCATGTGAGTTTTAACAAGCCACCCACATGAATCTGATGCAGTGTCATGTGAGAATCACTGGGGTAATTTTTGTTTCACTATATTTTCTATTTGAATCAAGGTGTTAGTGTTTGGGTTTCAGGGTTCAAAGATCTTTTGGGGGCATAGAAAGAGATGATATTTGCATGCTTAGCCCTTTTATGATTCCCTACATCTGTTAGAAATATAGTTCCTGAATCATAATGTTTAATGATCTTTTATCTGAAACTCTTTCATGAATGTATCTTTCCCTGTATACAGGATGTGAGCCCATTAAACCTAGTCTCATATACTGGTTGGAACAAGAAGAGGATCTGTGGACAGTGCAGAGTGGAGATCTCCAAGGTGAGTGTTTGTGAATAACAGTCCCCATCAAGGACACATAGTGTATTTGGGAGTGTTAAGGGGGACTTTTTAATATGCACTTGATATCAGACATTTCAGGTCATTTCTCTGAGAAGGTAAGAAAGTAAAGAACTTCTCATATACTCACTTTCTGTCTATTCAGACTTTCCTGTGATCTCACAAAATGACCTTTTTTATTATTTTGTTATATGGTTTATGTCCAGATTTTTGCTCCTTTTTATGCCTAATAATATTTTTTGTTGTTAACCATCAGTTTTATTTTTCAAAGAATTAATTTTTAATAAATGTCTAAAACTGTGATTCACATCTTTAGCTGTCACCAAAGTTTTAACCTAGTTCAAAATGGTCAAACTTTTCTTTTTAAACMTTAACCCTTATTTATTTTTGTTTTTGTGGTCTTGAGGATCGAACCCAGTGCCTCACATATGCTGGGYAGGCACTCTACCACTGAACCACAACCCCAGCTCCAGACTTTTCTTTCTTTTTAACCAGTTTTAATTTGATAACAAATATAAATGAGCCCTATTATTTTCAACTCCTAAGTCTATCATTTCTGCTCCAAACTTTAATTTTATTTTTCTGTTTATCTTCAGAATGGAAAATGCTACTTAACACCAAAGAGGCAACACTTCAGCAGGATTTTTTGAGGGGACAGACTTCCAGTGAGATACAAACAGTAAGATTAACATGGATATTTGTTGTTTTCCACTCAGAGAACATTGCCAATTCCCTTACATAAAATAAGTAGCATTCACCTAGGAAGGAGTATATTCTGAAGGTGATGAATTTGAATTTTTAACATGTCCCAAACCTGTCTGTCATAAAATCTATTCCTTCAGAGATCCCATAAGTACATAGTCCCACATGTGTAACTAGACATTGACTTTTAAGGCAGTATTGTGAATATTTTGGGGGGAGGGGGGAATGGTGCTAAAGAGTGAATCCTGGTCCTGTGCAAGCTAGGCCAACACTACCCTGAGCTATATTCCCAGCCCAGGTTGCCCTTGAACTTAACAATCCTCCTGCCTTAGCCCCTGAGTATCTATGATTCTAGGTGAATGCCACTCTGCTGGTTCAATTTTGTAAATATCTTTTTTTTTTTTTTTTTTTGGTGGAGGGGGTACCAGGGATTGAACTCAGGGGCACTCAACATCTGAGCCACATCCCTAGTCCTCTTGTATTTTATGTAGAGAAAGGGTCTTACTGAGTTGCTTAGTGCCTGCTGTAGCTGAGGCTGGCTTTGAATTTACAATTCCCCTGCCTCAGGCTCCTCAGCCACTGGGATTACAGGCACGTACCACCTCGCCTGGCCTCAATTTTGTAAATATCTAAACAGTTGTTTAAAGATTAGAGCAGATGGCAGAAGGTTCTGGCACTATTGTTCCATAATTCAATTTAAAAGAAATCATGCCAGAAACTATAAGAATGTCATGAAGATGTTAAAAATCATAATAATCCTCTAAATAAATATGTTATCATTGTTCATTGTTTTACAGGGAAAAGGCAATAGAATCGGTGAATTCTAATATTAACAAGGGAGATTAATATCAAAAGATTGGGAATTTCTTTATAGAAAATCAGCATAAATGAGAGATTTTTGAGTAGCATTCACCCAGTAGGGAGATACTCTGAATATGATGAATTTAGGGTTTTATCCTAATTTTAGCTCAAAACATGAGGCTTCAGAGTTCCACTAATACACATTCCTACACATGTAACTGGGCACTGAGGTTCCTAAAGGAACTTCATAAAAATATAAAGTAGTCATTTCCAAGAGTAGACTGGATGTCATAGGATCCTTGAAATTGGGTTCCTTCATTCAGCTTGAAGTTTACAGAGCAGGGAATGTTTGCATGTAATCAAAGTGGTAAGAATAATAATCATCATAATACTGTTTCTGTCTGCAGATAGGTAAGAATTAATAAGTCTGAAAAGTCTTTTAACCATCATTCATCCCTTCATCAACAGGCAGGACACCACAGTGCAGGGGAACTTTGTGACTATATGCAGTGTGGAGAAATCTTCAGTGAACACTCATATTTCAAGACTCACATGAAAACTCAAAACACAAGGAATGCAGGGCATTTTACTCACTCTACAAGTCCTGCCGTGCCTGTTCAAATGCGCACAATGAAAAACAATGCATGTAAGGTTTGTGGAAAAGTCTTCAGACGTTCTTCAAACCTTAATAGGCACATGCGAACCCATACTGGGGAGAAACCCTTTAAATGTAAGGAATGTAGGAAGCCCTTCACTACTTACTCACGGCTAATGGAACATTTCAGAATTCATACTGGAGAAAAACCCTATAAATGTAAGGAATGTGGAAAAGCCTTCACTAAGCGCTCAGGCCTTACCACACATGAACCAACACATGCTTCAGAGAAGCCCTATGAATGTAACGAATGTGGGAAAGCCTTCGCTTCATCCTCACGCCTTACTCAACATGTAAGAACTCACAGTGGCGAGAGACCCTATATATGTAAGGAATGTGGAAGAGCCTTCCTCACTTCCTCATATCTACGTAACCACATAAGAAGAACTCACAGTGGGGAGAAACCCTATATATGTAGGGAATGTGGAAAAGCCTTTCATTCTTCCTCATATCTACGTAGACATGTAAGAACTCACAGTGGTGAGAGACCCTATATTTGTAAAGAGTGTGGAAAAGCCTTCCTTAATTCTTCATACCTACATAATCATGTAAGAAAAACTCATAGTGGAGAGATACCCTTTATATGTGGTGAATGTGGTAAAGTCTTTCATGCGTCTTCATACCTACGTAGACATGTAAGAACTCACAGTAGAGAGAGACCCTATATATGTAAGGAATGTGGGAAAGCCTTCCTCAATTCCTCATACCTACGTAAACATCTAATCATTCACACTGGAAAGAAACCCTATGAATGTAAGGAATGYGGGAAAGCCTACAATAGATGCAATCTATTACTTGACCATTTAAAAACTCACATGGTGGAAAAGCCATTTGAATGTAATGTATGTGGAAAATCCTTTCAGTATTTCTCTTATCTTACTAAGCACATTCGTATTCACACTGGAGTAAAACCCTATAAGTGTAAGTACTGTGGGAAAGCCTTCACCACTTCTTCAAGCCGAACTGAGCATGTAAGAACTCACACTGGGGAAAGGCCTTATGAATGTAAGGAATGTGGGAAATCCTTCAGTTCATCCTCAAACCTAATTCATCATGTGAAAATTCACACAACAGAGAAACCCTTTAAGTGTCAGGAATGTGGGAAAGCCTACAGTAAGTTTTACCTACTAACTGAACATTTAATAACTCACACTGAAAAGAAACCCTTTCAATGGGAGGAATACAAAAAAATCCCTTAAGATTCTTCACATTGTAAGGAAGGAAATATAAAATCTTTCACTAATTCCCAGAAAGTTACTAAATGTGAGACTTTGCAATAGAAGGAAGAACTTCTGATGTAAATATATGGGAAGGTTGTAGTTCTGTAAATATGTTGGTCTTCACTTGTGTCATCATAGTGGAGAAAACTTTATGAAGGAAAGGACTGTTGGAAAGTCAACCTTTAGCAAACATGATTCAGATCCAAGAGAAATTTAATATAGGGGTTTGGGGTCCCCTTATCTTGAAATCTGGTGCACCAACAGACACCACTGTCTGAATGGTTCTGGTTTATTTCGAACGTTTGTGATTCTACCTTGATCATTCTGGAGTGATATGTCTTTTCTTTCCTCCATAGCAACACTATTTCATTTCAGTCATTTCAGTTGCTACAACTTCTGGATAGCCACCAGGTAAAAGTGGGTCTTTGGGATACAAACAATACTATTTTAGCAGTATAGAATCTTTCCTAGGTTTGTCATGCTTTTTTTTTTTTTTTTTGTACCAGGGATTGAACTCAGGTGTTTAACCAGTGAGCCACATCCCCAGCCCTTTTTATTTTGAGATAGGGTCTCACTGAATTGCTTAGGACCTTGCTAAATTGCTGAGGTTGGCTTTGAACTTGTGATTTTCCTGCCCCAGCTTCCTAAGCTGCTAGGRCAGGCATGCATGACCATACCTGGCTTGTCATGCTCTTAAACAGGCTAAATCCTGGGAGTGCAAGTACTGTGAGAAAGCCTTTTTCACTTTAACACATTTAATGTTGTTAAATGCCCTTGTTCTCTTATACCTGATCCTTTCAGATAAAGGTGAGAGTGCAAGAAAAGTGAGTAGAGAAAGGACGAGTGGTAAATAATTACTAGTGTGAGAGACCTCAATTTCATGACCATGCAGAGAGAGAGAGAGAGAGACCCTTTGAACCCCTTGAGAATGGAAGTTCCTGTAACATTGGCAGTGCAGGGAGTGAAGGAGAGGCCTGAGTGTTGTTTTTAATCTGTGCATCCATTACATAGCCTGCAAAGCRCTTATGAATGCCTGAGTTAGCAACAGCTTGGACTGGCAGTACAAACTGCTTCTGGATTTGTCCTTTGATGCACATGGAAACAGAAAAACTGAACATAACTGGTGTCATGTTCTACTGTGCTCGAAACCATCATGGTTCTGAATGTGGCCCTTGGGTACAGCCTCTCAGACCAGCACAATCAGGTTTCAGCCTGAGTGATCCAAATTTAAAGTTTGAGCAACTTTGGGTTCTATCATGTGTAGCCGTCAGAACTCAGCCCCTTGATGGCTGCCATCAGGGCTGCAGCCCTTTCTTTGTCTTTTAATCCAGCCATTGAAGAGGTATTCCAAATCATGCTAAACAATAAATCCTGAACAGAAGAGACCTGTGCACTTTCATGTTCCATGTGTTTCTTGTGAGGAGTGGTAATGAAATGGTTCTCTTGTGGGTGTGATTATTATTAAGCCCAACTATTATTGCCATTACCTGTTGGCAATGACAATAAARGTGATCACATCAATCTGGGCTGCCTTGTGTGGGTGGTTATGGCTCATGAATTTGCCTTGGATGCCATCCTTACTGTCTGAAATGAGACCTATAGGTCCCTCTGGAACTTGTTCACAGTTGCCTGATGATGAGCACATGTGGGTRATGGGTGAAGTCACTAGTGCAGTTTGGCCTCATCCTTCCCCTTGTCTCCGAGTGACAGTATCATTAACAAATGACAGTATAGTGTTCACAGCCCAGACATTGCCCTGCCTGAGAAACTCACTGCTGGTGACCTTGCCACTGGAGAGGACTTCCTCCTGTGCACTAGAGATGAGTTCAAATTCACCAGAACATTCTTGGTAGCAATGTCTGTGCGCTAGTGCTCCTCAGGTACAAATTGCACACAAAATATTTGCTTTTCTTACTTTGATATTTGGGGTTTGATTGTGTGCCCGAGCTTGCTGTCAGCTTAGCCTGTGATCCTGGTATAATGTCAGCCAAAACATACAGCTCTATACCCCATACCTTTAGGAAAATCTGATAGAAGTTCCTGCTACCTCTTAGAGAGGTTACTATCTACATTTCTGAAAGTTGACAAAACTTTTTCTGGTTTCCCAGGAGGCAGCTGCTGTCAATTAATGCAGTGACACCAAAGGGGAGTCCACTRTCTTCCCAGTTAATTCTGCTGATCATGTTTTCCATGTTGATCTGACTCCTTCCCCTTGGTTTCAAAACCATTTATCTCTACTTAGAATTTGCTAATGTTTGAATTCATACCCTCAYAACAGTATAATTCCAGGCCTTTTCTCTTGATCACTGTCAAATTCATACTATTATCATACTTTTTACAATCTGCAGAAATATTATTGATCTTGCAAAATTTCAGGCCTATTTTCTTGAATAATGCCATAGTTATCTGAGAACTTTGTTGTGGCCAGGCCCACAAGTACTGTACATACTTATTACAAGTACTGCAATATTTCACCTTTTCTTTCTTTCCTTTCTTTGTCCTTTTTTTTTTTAACCCCTTTCCTCCCTTCTGATTGAACCAGGGGCGATCTCACTGAGCTACATCACCAATCTTTTTTTATTTTTATTTTGAGACAGTCTTGCTAGATTGCTAAGGCTGGCCTCAAACTGACAAATCCTGTCCCAGTCTCCAGAATTACTACCATGCCTGGCATTTTTCTCCTTATCAGTGAAAAATCTCTTGACGTTGTCCCAGAGTTGTTTAGTGTAACATCAGACCRTCTGAGGACCAATTGTGTTACTCATATATTGTATTTCCTGTATATTGGGATGTACTGAAATTCTGGGGGTCTGGGCAGAGACTGCCTCTCCCAATGTGCTAAGTTATTCCTCAAGATAGTAAACAACATACATGGAGGCATGTATTTCATATTCAAACCAACCATCAAAAGGCCAAATTCTCAGCTACTTGCTTTGTCTAACTAATATATAAAGTCAGTATTTCCTCTGCCAAAAATCAACACAGGGAAAGGCTCAAGACAAATAGTAATATTTCCTATGCCTTTACYCATGAGAATTATTCAAACTTGATCCTAAACTTTTTCATGCCCTGCTTTTGCCTTTGTGGTGGAAACTCCAATAAATGCTGAGGCAGATGCTTTCTTCTTGCTTGTCTGTCTCCTGATCAACTCTCTCTCTTCCCCTTGTAGGCCTGTGCGGCCTCTGCTGTGCCCTTTTTGTTAGTACTAGGAGTAAAAACATAGTCACTGGAGCCTCTTTCTGTACTCAGTCATCTTTATGAATCCACAAACTTAAATCAATAATTTCTTAGCCTTTCTTCATAGCTTGTAATACCTGTGTACATATCTCACAGCAAGATGTTACCTTTCTTAGGTAAATTTTGCACTGTGTGAGAGCTATATATACTAGGCTGGTGTTGTCTATGTCACTAAAGTATATCCTCAACCTTTGTAATTTTTTTATTACAACATTGCAGGAGGGGGAAAAAAGATTATAGGAGTTTACATCTTATGTGTTTTCCCCTTTGTGATGGTGTCTTATAGATTTCTTCATTTTGTCCTACCCAAGTGTCTCCATTCCTTTATGTTTTTCAGAAACTTAAGACCTTAAATATGTTCCATTACCTTGTCTTCCATATTTTGTAATTCTAATTTCAAATTTATATACCAAATGCATACCATTTTGGTCATTTTTCTCCCTATGGACATGAGATTACCGTAGCTCCTCTATTTCTGGCAAACAACATACATGGAGGCAAGTATTTCATATTCAAACCAACCATCAAAAGGCCAGTGAGGGAGGTGGATTCACAGTGAGAGAAAAGAGCTAAATGCCATTTTTCCCCCTCCATTTACATGTCCCCAACATCTGACAACTCTATGGTGGCTATGAGACATAGCATAGACCTTTACAAAAAAGACTGAGATGATCATCCTCCACCCTCAATGTAGGCCAGCTTGTAATAGAGAGAATAAATAGCATGGAAAAGGCCTTTGAAATGAAATTCATATTGAAACTACAACTATAGAATGCTTACTTAAATTTGCATTTTTTCCTTTTTTTTTTTTTTTTTGTAGTGCTGAGAATTCAAGCAAGGGCCTTACACATGCTAAGCAAGTACTCTACCATTAAGCTATACTCTCAACACTGAAATTTGCACACTGAACCCAACTTTATTAATTGTCTGGTGATACAGATATCTACCTTCTCCATATGATTTAAAGACCCAAAGTGTCATAATATTAAAAATGTCATAACAAAATTCCAAATTCTCTGTGAGCAACAAAGAATCAAGGGACTGTGACATACCAAAAGGCTATCATAATATCCTATAGGAAGAAAAGTAATTCAGTAAAAAATTTGAAAAATAATGAAGTTTCTCAAATTTGGTAGAAGATATAAACTTACAGATTCAAGAAGTTCAGTGAAACTAAAACGTGGTTAATCCACATGAAGTCACAACTAAACATAACATTGAGACTAGTGAAACCTAGAGAAATTTATAATCTGTGTTGTTGAAAATAAAAACATGGGGATTTCAAATTATAAACAAGACATTTACAAAAGAAAGGTTTAAGGCTGATGTGACTTCTGTGATTGTTAGGTTCTACTTTCCAGTTCAATGGTAAAATATTTCATGAAGACTGAGAAGAGGGCTGGGGATGTGGCTCAAGGGTAGCGCGCTCGCCTGGCATGCGTGCGGCCCGGGTTCGATCCTCAACACCACATACAAACAAAGATGTTGTGTCCGCCGAAAACTAAAAAATAAATATTAAAAAAATTCTCTCTCTCTCTCTCTCTCTCTCTCTCTCTCTCTCTAAAAAAAAGACTGAGAAGATATTTTACATTTATACATATATTTTATATATGTATATTTTAATCACTGAGAAGGATACAATGAAATTGTTTTTTTAAAAGGTAAATGAAAACAGTACTTRAGAAATAGTTAACCCAGAGCTGGGGTTGTAGGTCAGTGGTAGAGCACTTGCCTAGCATGTGAG